ACCGTCCTGACCGCGTAGCTCAGTTGGAAGAGCATTGGGCTAGTATTCCAAAGGTCGTAGGTTCGAATGCCACCGTGGCCGGGCATATTTTTCAAGCTCGCTCGGTGTGGATATGCACTCAGAGTAACATCGCAAGCATATTATTCACCTGAGTACACAACACCAACACAGAAAAAAAAATCGTATTACTAGAACACATTGGTATTGAAGGAACTAGATACTGTTCCGAAATATCACTTACTCGAACCGTCCTGACCGCGTAGCTCAGTTGGAACAGCATTGGGCTAGTATTCCAAAGGTCGTAGGTTCGAATGCCACCGTGGCCGGGCATATTTTTCAAGCTCGCCCGGTGTGGATATGCACTCAGAGTAACATTGCAAACATATTAATCACCTGCATACACAACGTCAACACAGAAAAAAACCCTTATTACATTTACAACACACTAAAATATGTCTTAAAATGTTTTTCAAATATCTTCCAGAATACATTACATCTACAATTTTATCTGTTTCTTCATCTAATTGTTGATAGGGTATAGAGCCATATTCACCCAATGCATATATCATCTGTGCAGGTTCACTAAAGTTATCCTCCTCTAACATCAAAGACAATTGACGTAAACCCACAAATACATTTAATCTTACAAACACATGATCAACCCTTGAAAAACAGGGTCCACAACCCACATGAAAATAATATTTGTCCAAATGATAACACTGTTTAATACTATGCGATTTACACCTCACAATTTTGCAATCAGTACATTTCAACACCTGATGGCAGCAAAATTCATAGTTGATCAATGTAAATTCACCATTAACAATCACAATTCTTTTCACCCATTCCCGCGGAATTAAATACACTTCTGCCACATCCCCGTCACTAACACAGTGCTTCGTTGTCAATGCGTACCAACAATCTGGCTTTGTATCATCAATGCCAAAAAATCACGAATAAAACGCATATTTCCACCAAGCCACGAAGTTTCTTCGCTGATATTTCTAATCACTTTTCGATTATGAAACGTGGGTCTATACATGTGCAAATGCATACAAACACTGTATAACACCCAAATATAAGGGTGATAGGGGTAATTTGTTAGCAATTTAGCAAATATCTCAACTGCAATTACTTGCTGATCGACAAAGGCCTCAGACATTATTCACTGAATTTTCACGACGTATAATTTTTTATGGTTTAGTATTTCCAATTCATGGTTTAGTATTTCCAATAAAAAATAACCAAAAACCTGCACTTCATGTTTTGAACAATGACATGTGTTATACATATGATAAGGACAACATTTTTCGAGACAATACCATATTTGGTAAGCAAATTTGTATACTTATCACAACCAATTATTTCTATTTATTCCTTTCACACCCACTTTAAATAACATGTTTTTTTCTATTGTACCACCCTTGTACGCAACAAGATCTGCATTTTGCATAAATTCCCTCTGCAAAAACATCATCACTTCATTATAAGTAAAAAAATTACTATCCAACCGTTCGCGTACCACAGGTAAACCATGAATATGATCTATTTGATACTTTACACAGCCACGTTCATTAAAATCTACACGGGGAAAATATATCTGATACGATTCACATCGGTTCTCACAAATACAATAAACAGAAACCTCACATAACAACTTACGACCCTTGGGTGTATATGCTTCACAATCTATAACGTGTGTAATCCGATTCACAATATCCTGCTTATATTTCCCCACTAACATTACTTCACTAGCATTTAACTGGTTATGCTGTCTTCCAAAAAGTGATTCAAGTTGTTCACCCATTGTGATTTAAGTACATACTGAAAAAAATATCAAACACACACAATATTATAAAAAAAAATTTATAATTTTGCAAAAAATCAACTACCCATTCACAATTACAACATTTTATATTAAAACATTTACAATTATTTTCCATAAACGACATATTGTCATGCATCATTTTATAATATTCTATAAAACTATCCACAAAATACGGTGAAACATAAATAGCTTTATGTTCAAACAAATCAACTACTTCCGATAAACATTTCTGTTTATCAACTCGTCCAAAATGTTCCATGCAAAAATAACGTAAAGTCTCAACTGTATTTTCTAATGACGAAAACATAATTGCCACAGTGTCCTCTGATAAATCATCAGTATGTCGACATTTATTTTGATAACCAAACCCCATTGTCTGTCGATTGACAACACCGTCTAGAACACACGGTCTCCATGTTATTACTATATCTGCAGACACATGTATTTTCAAAGACTTCGGTGGTAATAACGTCACGCGAAATACCTTGATTCCACTTTCATTTATCGCTTCATTCACATACAACCAATAAGCAATATGTAAAAATCGCCCATCAATATAATACATCTTTTCCAATAGACTTCCCAAAATCGTTTTAATAGTATTCTGACACAAATAATCGTAAAAACGAATACTTTTTACATCAACAGTAGCTTTAAAATAACAATAACTCATCTTCACGAATAAATCCAGAATCAGGATACAACCGCGAAATACTCGTACATAAATGCTCAAATTTGCAATATTTCCCCTCAACCCAATAATGATCCGATCCACAGTTACAATGTTCCCTTAAATAAAAACGTACACATCTTAACACACTCTCATAATAGCATAAAATCTCTGTCAAACGTTTGGAAAAATAACAACCAAATGTTCGCATACAATAGTCTATAATATACCCCACATGAAAGTAACTATTCACTTTTAAACTTGTAAATCCTCGTTCAAACGCTTCAGTAATATAAGACTGATGTATAAAATGATTCAATCTCGCCAGACCCACCACACATGAATTCGGATTACACCATCTTCTTGATCTAAGAGTATACTTTGATTTACGAGGATGTATTTGATACTTCACACACACACGCTGCCATAAAGACCATTTTTCCAATCCAACACACCAATTTTCACTACGCGTTCACCATTTGACTTACGTAAACCCAGAAAATAAAAATACAACTTCGGAACAGGAGTTATATACCCATTACAAATAATACTAAATTTATCGGTAGAAAAAAAAGCACAATCCTCCAACAAATCAAGCATAAAAAAAATATTCTCTCATCATCCCTTAATGTTGTATATACAATTATTTTTTCATTTTCACCAACCGTATCATCTTGAGGTTGTATATCCTCAAAATTAATATCTTCCATGTATCAATAACAAATATTGTATATTACCACACAGCTGTGTAGGTAATTCATTCTCGTGCAAATTGAATAATTGTTGGCGATACTAAAACACCTGTAGTTTCGGATACACTCCTCACAACTATCATAGGGGGTGTATTATGAACCACATAATAATTTAACATAGTCTCCAAACGATTTTGAATATCATTTTCCATAAAACGTTCAAGAAAAATAATCCGACGATTCCCCTTACACAATAACAGATCAGTTTTATGATATGAACGAAAAACAATATTACACACCGTAACACAATATTGTCAATATCTAAAACACTTTTTAACACTTTCAATATAAATCACATATCGTAGCTGTGAATAATACCAATCGTTATAAAACCAATCAACACTACGCCCTATACGCGTATGATCAACAAAAAGTACTTTTTGTAACACACCCTGCAAAGACAAAGCATACAATGCCTCATCAAATTTCTCGAACAAACTCTCAATAGGTTTAGATAAAGATACAGCCATTTTTTTAATATTCTTCCGAAATTAAAATATCTACCAAATCCATTATAAGAGTTAAATCAATCTCCCAAGACGTCACATATGTCATAAAAAAAATAACACAAAAGCAAGGTCACAACCCCCACTAAGGTCATCAAACTCACACTTTGTTTTATTAAACTTAGAACAAAAACACACATTTCATATTTCCGAAGCATTTTTTAACCATATACGGTAATGCATAGACAACAACATATAAATACCTTATAAGGTAATTCGCATCGCAATACCCTTATACCATATAAGGTAATCAACCTGTCAGTAATCGAATTTCACAACCTTTTATTCGTGTTTTATTTTAATAATCCTTTATTCATCAACATGGCAGAACTAAGTCAAGAGCAAACCGAATTCCTAACCTTCCTCGATTTAAACGAAGTAAATATTACCGACAGTAATTTGGAACAGCACTGCAATGATTTCTACGATTTTGTCAATTTCAAAAACAATCCCGAAAACTATACCGAATAATACGAAAGAGCATTTATTCGCTGGAATAATGCACGAACCCGCAAAGAAAATCCTAAACCCACACCGGTACCCTTTGTCTCCCAACCAATACCTATCGTCCCCCAACCGCTCTCCCAACTGACATCAACAGACGAAAAAGCAACATTAAATTACGTACCCTCAGAAAAAATCCAAACCGAAAACCCTTTAGCAAAATTAAAAATTGGAAATCCAAACATCAGTGAATTCCACACATTCACATTGCCGCAAACAAATACAACCCCACCGCTGCTGCAATCACCACCTAAACCACCAGTCAGAGTCGAAATCATAACAGAAAAAATTGAAGAAATGCCTCCAAAAAAGCCTGCAAATACAATTGCTAGTAAAGACATTACACAAGCAAAAGAACTTTTCGACCAACAACACCCTACAAAACACAAACGTATTCAAATACAACCCCAAGTCTACGAAGTACCGCGTGGCATCGGTCGACCCTCCAGATAAAGAAACACTAGAAAAAATTAATATATTAGAAAAAAGATTAATGGATTTTGATTCTGAACCAAATACTAAATAAAGAACAAAAAGAAACACTAGAAAAACTTAATATATATTAGAAAAAATTGATTAATGGATTTTGATTCTGATTCTGAACCAAATACTAGAACAAAAAGAAACACTATAAAAACTTAATATATATTAGAAAAAATTAATAAATGATAATTCTGAACCAAAATGTAAAATAATAATTAAATAAAATCCATTTTTTACACTATTTTTGTTATATTTCACCCTTATTTACCCTATTACCCCTTATTATTCCTTATTAACACACCCTATTGCCCTTATTATTCCTTATTAACCCTTATAACCCCTATAACCAATCAGCACCTGCCACGTCACACAAGCTCCGCCCCTTTCTCAACTCTACAAAACAGCGCGCCAATTTCAAATCAGTTCAGTTCGGTCAACCAAGCCTTCGGGGTAACACCACGCTACGTGCACACACATCTATGACGTCACCGTTGTCATCACAATGATTTAGTGCGTGAACCAGCGTAGAATTACAGAAACAGCATAGATTTATGCTAAAACACTTTCAAAGTAACAGTCATATGACCAACAAACCCCCCCCCCCCGTCCGTACAGACCTGTAACACCCTAAAACACCCTGACCACACCCCATCTTACAATACTAATCTATAGTAAATCTACACTGGTTCCCACACACCCATTTTTTTTTTTATATTACTACTTACAGGTGACCAGCACTACACCTATATGTTTATGTACCCTAATATAATTATTCATGTATATATAATCAAATAGTGGTCAATAAAAATTTCTTCTTCTATTTGCATATTGCTGACATAGGGCAAATTAGGCAAACACATTAATTAAGGGGAAAATGTAAGTTTGTGCAAATAGTTAAAGGCTTAAATTAAAGCGAATTGTCTAAAATTTTGTACAGTGATTAAAAACCCAACATTAACTCAAAATACGATTAAAGCTTTCAAATTTTGTGAGCAAGCCATTTTTAGTTTGATGGAAAAAACAACCCCCCCCAAAATTTGAGTTTGAGAATTTTTTTATTATTCTACATTATTAATACCCAAAGATATATATATATATATATATATATATAGATATATATATATATATATAAACTGGATACTAATAGCTGTTTTGCAAAATTGAGAGCAATTTCAAATCTGTTCAGTTTTTTTTTCATACATGCTGTAGATGTTCTGCCAGTCATGTGGTACCTCCAATCATGAAACTGGAAACTATTGCAAAAGCTGTGGGATATCTTTCACTGATAGTGGTAAGCAGATGGTCCTCATTCGAATGTAAATAATCAGCAATCAGGTGGTGGTGGCAAAAATTCTACTTCACAGCCACTAAGTTTCAAAGCTTACATGGAAAGCAGACGTCTGTCACGAAACGAATATACATTTAGCACAATTCAAAAAAGGAAGTCAGATTAAAAAGCGAAGAGTATTAAAAAGGAGTTTAAAAAATGAAATTGTTCAGGTTTGTTTGTTTATTTGTGGGGCTATTATTATGTTGGCAATTCCCTTCAGACTTCTTTCTTTCGAAGTGTTTTATGTACAAGGCCACATGATAGGTCTAAGGGAGTGATCATTATCTACAAGGAGAGGGGATTAAAAATTTGAGACTGGGAATGTCATTTTAACTGTTTCTCTTATTGCCTTATCTTTCTGCCTTTCTCACTTTCCATGTTGTGGTTTATATGTTGTTACAATGGTGATGACAAGTGCATACAAATAAAGTTAAAAGACACGGCCAAAAATCTAACTTTATCTGCACAAATAGACCAAAAACTGTAGAGTAAAATCTATCGAGTTTTTCTCAATAACCTTTTGTCATATGATATGTTGTGTTATTTGTTAATATAATTATAGAAACCAGACTTAGTTGATGGTGTTTGTTTGCTTGAAGGTTGTAATATGCTTTCCTGGCACTGTTTTCATACTTTAGGCCCCAGTCTAATGGGGTTTTTGGATCTTCAATTATCTTTCTTATAGCATACAATTTCCTTTTAGTGAGTGAATTCACCAAAGCAGAGGTATCAGTTATATGTTTCTCAACAGAAACCTGCCTGGTATAAACACTCTTACATTTTGAGGCAGTTACAAATCCTCTTTTATGCACATACCATTGCTTGCATTGCCATTGCCTCTTTGTAACAGCAGCAACGTTGTTTCTTTCTTCCTGGGTAAAGTTTAGATTTGCAACAAATGTGTCCTTGTTTGCTTCTGTACTCATTTCCAAATGTTGTAGAACTTTTTGCTCCATTATTCCATGTTCCAAGACCTCAACTGGTTTTACAACATTAGAGCCACCTTGGAAGGGAATCAAATGTTTTGTCAAGATTGGCAAAATAGCTGGTTTCTCCTTCATGCTCTGCATACTAGTTACCAGAGTGGCAAGTTGTTCTGGACTACAAGGTTCCCTGTCCTGCATAGTACGTTGATCATGATCAATGAACTGGGAGAATGTGTATTCCTGAGTCTTCTTTTTCTTGGACAACAACTCGTTCTGATCTTTAAGCCCTCTTTTATTCACTGACAGATCCCTTACTTCACATGCCGATGTGTCAGGCTTTGGTCTTCGCGTCCATTTGCAAGGCTTACTTGTAACACTATCTTCCCCCTTGGTATTTAGAAGGGCATCATGTGAATACATAGCTGCTGCAACATGTTTACAAGCACCATCTCTTCCTCCAAGGCAAACACAAAATGCATCAAGCACACTCACTACCACGATTTTGTCCTTTCCCATCTAGCAAAAACCATGAGTCATAGTACTCTTTAAGACCTTCTTTGGTTTTCTCCTTCATAGTAGGCTTGACCTTACTTACATATACATGTACTCCAGCATCTTGGCGGTACGCTGTCAGCAGAGAATCCACATATCCATCGTAGAATAAACGGTAGTTTTCGTACGATTTATATGCTCCAAGAGCTTGCTTATCAAAGTCTGATGAGTGATATAATAAATAATAAAATAAATACTTTATTTAAACTGTTAAAAATCCCATCAGCAATGCTGCTGGTGTTAACGGGAGAACAGTGATTATAATATAAACATGCATCCTAAATACTACAAATATGAGAATTGTTGTCAAGTTCTAAAGGATGCGTGTAAACAGTACGTTTAAATTTTGAGAGTGATATCAATTGTTTAATGGTAGAGAGTTCCAGTCTTTAGCACCAGCATACGTGAAAGTAGATCGACCTATTGCACTGTTCATCTTCGGAAGATCAAGCAGCGTCTTATCCCTCAAGTCTCTGTTGTGCATGCAACGTCTGAATTTGAACGTATCTCTCAGTTGACTGGGGCAGGCCAAGTTGTACAGTATCTTGAAAATACACATAAAGCGTAAAAATCATCTCCTGCCGTGCAATGTCAGCAGCTTTACTTCGCTGCACAACTCTTGAGAGCATTTTCGCCTTCCTTTGTGAAGGATAATCCTCAAAGCACGATTCTGAAGTTTCTCGACCCGCCTCGTTTGGATTATTCCGCACTCATGCCAAACAGTCGAACCATAGTCCAAGATGGGTAGTATAGTTTGTTTGTAGATACGGAGTAAAATTACGGAAGGCAGAAATGATGATATGCGATTGAGTAAGCCATGTTTTGGATACAAGCGTTGACATATTCTGCTAACATGCTGTTCCCATGACAGAATGTTGCTTATTCGAACACCTAGATAGTCAAATGTAGTAACCACATCAAGGATCTCATGATATATGAGATGGTTGAATATATCAAATAAACTAAAGGGTGGTGAGTGCTTAAAATCGTTGATTGAAGACAGCTATTTTAAAAGGATCAGGCAGTTGAACATCATAATGTTTTAAACGACAATCTAAACTTAACTTCTCTTCGACTTCGCTGACTGAGTTTAGCAAGGGAAGACACATTTCTTTGACGGCACATGCAATGGCCACGAGTCCAGGTTTCAGGTGACTGTTCACACTAATTCCTCGATTTTGTAAGTAGACTTTGAGATCCACTAGCTTCATAGCTTTAAATTTATCTTCAGTTAACGTCGTAGCCATTTTAACAACGGTTTATTGAAGTTAACGAGCGAATTTATCGGAGCTATTATATATTATGTATGTTATGTTCGGCCATGTTTGTCTCGAAAAACCAATTAGCGAGCACATGTTTCCACTTACGGAAAAACTGCCAAAGTGGTCTATTCTGTCAGTGATCATGATCTGGTTGGGGTTATAAAAATGAATGATCTCAAATTCCCACACCACACTATACGAAGAGAAACTATGCAAATTATAATAAACAGTGCTTATTGAAGATTTGCATAATCAATCATGGGATGCAATCGTGCATGAAATTGATTTAAACAAAGCATGGGATTGCTTTAAAAACATTTTAAAATCAGTGATAGATAAACATGTCCCTGTATTTGAGAAAAAAGTCAGAGGCAGAGATTGTCCATGGTTAAGCAACAAAATAAAGGCGAAAATGAATGAACATGATCGCTACTTAAGAAAAGCCCGAAAGTCGGGCAAAGAGCTTGATTTGTCTACATATCGCTGCTTGACAAATAATGTAACTTGTATGATATGAAATGGTAAACCTAACTATACCAGATCTGTCCTTAGAGAAAACATTAATAGGCCAAGCGATTTTTGGAACCGAATAAAACATATTTGGTGAAAACATATGAATTAAAACAAGCCAATATTGGCAGAAGAAAGAGGAGAATATTGTATGTATGCATTTTAATACCCTTCTGTAATATGATCTTTCATTTGGAATTGAAACGGTGTGACAAGAATACACAAGCTTCAAAAATTGGCAATGAGAATTGTTTATGATCAACCAAGACTAACATCATCTGGACCACTATTTAAAGCAGCTAAAATATTACCTATACAGCAAAGAGTCAAGCTACGAACCGCGATTATGGTATTCAAGGCTCGAAACCAATTGGTACCGGAATACATTTGTGACTTATTTCAACTGAAGTAATCAGTGACTAATCGAGTCACCAGAAATTCTGCGGACAATGATTTGTGGGTACCAAGGAATAAATTGGCAATCAGACGAAAGGCACTATCATACAGTGGTGCAACACTTTACAATAGTTTACCACTTGAGATAGGAAACTCTTCTTCGGTTGCATCATTCAAAATAAGAACATCAATACTTTTTAGAAACAGTTTAAACGTAGTCATATGTAATCTATAATCTATTGTATATATACCATATATCTTTTTCCCCACGTTACCTAGTATATTTGTTTGTTTGTTAACAGTCGTAGTTATAGAAGGCCCAGTGTAAGATTAGCTTTGCTAAACTGGTTTTTGCAATACCTTCTTTAAATAAAGTCCATTATTATTATTATTATTATTATTATTATTATTATTATTGCATAAGGTCAACTGTAGTATACTTGTATATAGTATAGTGTCTACAGGGACCTTGTAAATTTGAAGCAGAAATCTAATGTTGAAAGATACTTTGTTTAGATATTTGGTATATCTGTAAGCCTCCAATTATCTAAGCACTCATGAAAGCAACTACTGAACTGGTAGTAAATATATTGATATAAATAGGAAAGGTCTTCACTAATCTTGTTTATATTTACCATTATATACAGTATTACTGAATACATAATTGAGTCTGTTCACATGCATTTTGTGAGCTAAAATATCTTGTTAGAAGCCAGATATATTCTATCCAAATCAAAATGGCCTTCTTGCGATTCACTCAATATTGACGTTGGTCAATTTCCATATATACATAACTAAGATAACTTGAATAAATCTTGACAGAAATTTGCTGAATAATTTACAGTATTTAACTTGGTCATGCTTTTGAAGATGAGCATGACAAGAAGACAAAATTTGGTGAGATACGCATGCGCGAGGAGCAATTTAGCCAATAGAATGTGTTAGAATTTATAATTTAGTCGTGCTCACCTTTTCTTTGAAAAATGTTTAGTCGTGCCCAGCATGCCCTCTAGCTTTGCCACTTGCTCTGGATGTTTTTAAATGTCTGAACGCTTAGTGCCATTGGTTTACAAGAATTATTTTAAAAGAACATATCACACAAGGAGTACTCGAGGAAACAACAAGAAATTAGTTTTACTGAGGGTCAGAAGTGAATCTGGAAGAAAAACATTCACATTTTATGGGGAAAATATTTTTAACAGCCTACCCAACAATATGAAAACGGAGACCTCTATTCTTCATTATAAAACTAAACTCAATTTGATTGACCTAGTGTTTATGATTACAAGGCATGATTTAGACTTACCACAAGTCGACCATGGGGGAGGGAGGGCGCGGGGGAGGGAGCGTGCGATCTGTGTGTGTCGCACGCTCCCTGTATAATTTTGAAATATTAAAAAGGGTGTGTACATTTCATACAATTACTTCACCGCGTGCCAACCAATGGGTCTACAAAAACACAAAACCATTCTCAAGAATTGATATTTCTTGTCTTGGTCCTCAAATGAAACAGTTTGCACCGAGTGTTGAGAGTGTGGAAACGAAATAACTGACCCAAGTAAGTGCCGAAAGCTGTTTAATATATCAACAAAAACAAGTGCATGTAAAAATTTATTGAATCTGGACAGTTGTTTGTCTAACAATGTGTGCCATAATTGTGTCGACAAGAATAGTTCGGTTCGCAAGCGATTTAACATAGTAGAAGTTAATCTAATTGAAAAGAATCAGACAACTGTAACCAAGAAGTAGAGAGGCGGCGATTGCCCTTACCAAAGCAAAAGTATGGGAAAGATATGGCAAAGTTTGGGCCATATATGACCCATATGTGGGCATGATATGGGACAGTATAGATATCATATGGGATTGGTGTGGTGTCTAAATTTGTTAAATATTGAGATATGGAAAAGCTATGGAAACAAACACATTGCTATTAATCCTATGGGAAATCTGTGGGGTTACTTGGTCCATAGGTCATCCATATCAATGGCATGCTTTTACATATAACCAATTCTATGGGAATTATATGGTAGTCCACACTTGGTTGTCCCATATACTTCCCATACCTATGGGAATTATATGGTAGTCCACACTTGGTTGTGCCATATACTTCCCATATCTATGGGAATTATATGTTGTCTGAACTTGGTGCGGTTCTGGCCATATATATAATTTCTATGGCAATGCTATGCCAATGCTTACGAAAATTTCCTATAGGAATTCCTATAAGAAATGAAATTCCTATAGGATTTGAAAATTCCTATAAGAATTCATATAAGATTTGCAAATGGTGAAAAAATTCCTTTAGGAAAACGAAATTCCCATATATATACATATAGGAAATAAAAATTCCTGAGGAATTCCTATAGGATTGGAAAATAAATTTATTTTAACATTAATTAAAATGAATAATTACCACAATGTGCGCGACCTACAGACGGGTGTCTAGTTTTTGCCACATGCACAAAGCATCTTGGGAATAGGTCATCACACCTCCGATATTTTATAAATTTTTTGTTTGTGAATGCTTTATATGTTCAAAATAGAACTATTTTTGATGAGATTCAACTGGCCTTTCACTAGTAATACATCGGCGATGTTTGTATAATGTTCAAGTGAGCATATGTTTATATTTTGTTTATAATAAAGCAAATTATAAAGGAATACCTAGTCCAATCTTCATTCGCGAAATTCGAGCATGTGTTTCGATCGGTTTAAAATTTGAATTTGCCGCGACAATAATGGATTAGAACGCTGATATAATATACACTTAATGTCTGCTCCCGAGGGAAATAGTTAGTTTTGTTTTCCCGAGAATCTCAATGTTTCCCGAGACGAAGTAGAGGGAAACATTAAGATTCGAGGGAAAACAAAACTATTTCTCGAGGGAACAGGCATTAAGTGTTTTGTTATATAGCGACGAACAAATATAAACTTCAACAACATTCATACAACAATTGTATTTCGTGACAAAAACTCTATAGTGTAAACGAGTTTAAAATGAAAAGAACCTACTTAAAGCAGCATATCCTGTTGCCTGTTGTGTATTTTTCTTCTCTTTTATATTCTTTATTTGAACACAAACTTGGAAAATCGTAGTTTCTAAGTATCTGAGTTGTGCCTCCATTTTGTTTATTTATGTACGTGGCCGGTCGGGGCGGGCAACAATTTTTCACTTGTTGCCCGGTGGGAAACATTGCATTTATCTGAAGTCACGTGACCACAAATAAGCCAATCACGTTTGGTGTTCACGCTAGCTATATAACAAATATATTTACCTGTCATTTATACTTCAATAAATGCTACTGTAAGAGTTTTGCATTTGAATTAGACTTATCAATGTTTATTGGTTAATATATTTGTATATGCTAAGGCAGGTGTAAAAGTCGGACCGGATCGCCAGTCCGGGTCGGATTAGGTCGGACCAAGTCGGATCTTTAGAAAATTTAGAAATATCAGGATATTCCGGGAAATGTTACTTACACAAATGGAAGTTTGCATCTTTCCTGCGTTATTTACACAGCGTGGCAAATCGGAAAAATGGATAGAACAGGTTAGGGGCACTTTAAAAGCCTTTACTTGTGTTGGGAAAATGTTATGGAAAGATGGTGAATTATA